TCGTGCATGCTACCAGACCTGCAAGGTGTTAACCCCTCGAAACCGTCATAAGTGCGGCTGGTGCATTACTAAATAATCCAGCTACCACTGTTTTTGGTCGGGAGAAAGCGAGTCCAGCGAAGACAGCTCAGCCAATCCGAACAAGCAGTACATACAGACGCTGGTGGAGGCAAGTCGCGAAGGAGAAGTGAAATGACAGTTGTCAATGAGTCTGCGGGACTGGAATGTTGAGGCTCACGGCGATTGCACCATGGCTAAATGGCGTCAGAACGTTGGTGTGGGCTGCCACGTCGAGCAGATGAGTTCCGCGATATTGTGTGTGAGAGTGTTTTGTGGATCAAATCATCAAATGGATATATATAAGCGCAGAATGCGCTCTAATAATGAAATGATGAAATAAATCGACTGAAAGCACCAGTTACTAGACAGAGCTGATAGAGTAATCCGGGGTAGGGACTCAACTAGTACAAGGAATAATTTGACTGGGTAGGAGAAAACAACCAGGCCAGGAACACAGCATAATTAGAATTAGTAGGCGATTAAGCCGTGCAGTGATTTGGGGAAGAAATAGCTAATTTTGGTTTGGTCTTCGTCAGTAGAGTTTGGACGAGAACAACAGTCCCTAGACAGAGTTTATAGAGTAGTCTGGTGTAGGAATTAGACTAGTACGAGGTCCAAGTTGGTACGGGGAAAAGGGAAAAAAGAAAACAACCAGGCCAGTAACGCTGCATATTTAGATCAAGTTGGCATTTAGTCCTTGATTAGTTTAAAGCGGGTCAAGAGGATGGGAAGAAATGATAACAGGACCTTTACTTGCCTACTAACTGTAACGTCGCTAAACTCATATGCGCAATGGACCTGACTCGTAAAGGAGGTCAGAGGGTAGTTGAGTCTTAAGCAAGGCGGCGGCAGTTTCACAGGTAGGGAATTTGTCTACAGTCTGAGAAAAAGCATGGTGATGCGTGATGCTTCGCAGCTGATCAGGAAGGCTGTTCCAGATGCGAGCGTAATAAACTAGAAAGAAGTAGTGGCGTAGGTTTGTGCGAGCTGGGTGAGGCACTAAGAGATTGCAGGAGTTGCGGAGTTTGCAGCGAGGTTGTGAGTTTATGCTTGGTCTAGCCTCTGCAATGAAGGCGTTCTTATGCAGCAAACGGTGCAAGAGAGCTAGATTCAATTTTAACCGTCTAAGCCATAGTGGTTCAAGACCTAGGATTTGACAGCGGGAGCGGTAAGAGAGGGGGTTTGACCAAGAAAAGAGATTTTTCGTAAATGAGCGTTGGACGCTTTCAATTGCGAGTCTGCAATTTTGGGTGTAGAGGGAGGAGAACGCGGGACAGAATTCCACGATTGGTCGTACGCATAGCTTAAAGATTGCAACCAT